CTTGACTATCTGCATTCTATGACCTCCCTTAAGTATTTGCAACCCGAAACACAAAAAACCTACTTAACTCTTATGCACAAAAATAGTTCAACATAAAAATTACAAGAAATACACCCTCCACTTTACTCATTACACCAGTTATCACAATTATCTTCCTAATTCATGATGAACACAAAATTCTATATTTACCTTTAAAATCGTAATTTTTTCCATTTTCCTTTTGGAACTTCCTTTTTTACTTTGGAATAAAACTTTTCATAATCTGTCAAACAAATTAAGAACTGATTTCAATTCTTTAAACTCATTGAAGAATCTTCAATCACAAGCTAAGCACACTTCATGCCAAGTAAGATTCACTCTTTTTCTTCGGGGCTTCGCTAGAAAACAATCGACAAACCCTAGGGTTCACAACAACGAATTTAAAATCAGGCAAATAGGAAAAGATTCGGTACCTCAACAACCTAATACTAGTTTATGGTCATATCTCAACAACCTAATGTTCAAAAATACACCAGGGCCAACATCCAAAGTATTCATATATCAGAGACTAAGTTGTTGGTGGAATGCAAAGGAAGAAGACTCACCAGAGAAGTGTCATTCTCCTTCAAGGTTTGCTCCAACAACGACGCGAGTGAGAATGAGATCCTAAACCAGTGCACGAATGGGGATCCTACACATAGTACACGATAGGAGCTCTAAAACAAATGTTTCAGGCAATGGCACGATCAACACCTTACCCGATGAAAAACACATTTTCATGAAAAAGGGCAAAGGAAAAACAGAGAAAGAAGGAGGAAACAAAGGAACATGATACCCAAACCCAATAAACGAACGAAACGCTACAACTTGATACAATGCCACATGCACTGGTGAAGAAAACGAATTCGAAGGAACAAAGACAAAGACAAAGTCGACTAGCAAAGGAGAACGAGAAGCAAAAACTGTTATAAAAAGACTTTTCTAAGACCCATAGAGAGTGCTTATCTTAAAAAGCACTATCTATTGTGTTTTAATAGATAGAATAGATAACGCTTTTAAAAAAAAGTGTTATCTATTTTGTTTCAATTGATAATGTTAATACAATTTTGAATTAAAAATAATATTAAATACTTATAGATAGTGCTTTTTTGGAAAAGTGTTATCTATTGTCATAACTATAGATAACGCTTATTTAAATAAGCGCTATCTATTATTTTGTACATGCATAGATAACATTTATTTAGAAAAGTGTTATCTATTTAGTGTTATTTATAGACAATTCTGTAGTAGTGCATTCACTTGCTGTCTGGGTTAGTTTTAATGCTGTAGAGAGACTCCTTGTTCACTCACCATAATGGACTCTTTTTATGTTAAACTAGACAATTCTAGTGCTATAGAAACAACCCCTAGAATAAACTCACTGAATCCAAACCATCCACGATGAAACTGAACATTTTTCATGTCGTAAAAACTGCTTCTAGATTACTAATAGTTAGGAACATTTTGGACTATTGTTGGAAGCTAAACTAGGATACTTAGTTCTGCAAAAATGAACTTTGAACATGACCACATATTGAAGCTAACTTGGACAACTAATAACACAAAACAACCACTGAAACCTTGCTAACTAGACCACTAATAGTTTCTAAAATGAGTACTATAATGTTGTAGACCAACCCCTATATATCTTTACCTTAAATTGAACTAATTTTGTTTTGCTACAGAGCTCCCCTTACTAGCTATTGTGATATAACCTTAAACCCCCACCTAATTCACAATTCACCCTAAAAAACAATGCACCTAACTTTTTCCCACTCATAGTTCTTCCTTTAAGTAACACTAGACCAGGTCCTAAATGAACCCAGAGATTCTGCACTAAAACCCTTCCCATTACATGACTGCAACTACCCACCAACTAGTAATAAGACATACTTAGCTCACCTCTGTTGCACAAGGTAAGTGTAGTTATTGCCCTACATCCAAAATTCACCACAATACCACTCATTCCAATAGTTAAAAATGCCTCTTCATGCTCTAAACTTAGGCATTAAGGTTAACACACATAAACATAATTATTCTCATTAACAAGCGTACTGAAAATACTCCAACTATAATAAAATTCAAGACAACTACACTTTAGCCCAAAAACACTTTCCATTAGTTGGAAATCACCAAATAACAAACCAAAAATTTGATTATAATGAAAATTTAATTTACCCCTACAAGACAACAAACAATAGTGCAATTAACAACAATAGCACCCTCCCAAAACCTAACACACTACACACCACAACATGCACTAATTTTGCACCAAAACATTTCCTAGATCCAAAACATAATGCATAGAAAATAGTTGTCAATTTATTAGACTATGGAGTTTGTACAACCTTGGTTGTATATCCCCTATCCATATAGTTTTAAGAATAAGCAGTTCTGCGAATGAAATTCATATCTCAAGCTCTCAGTCAAAGCAGGTAAACAACACACATATGAATCAATTTCAAAGGGTTCCTCATAAGCCATATTACACATTTTATCAACAATTTTTTAGCACTAATAGGCTATTAATGCATAAAGTCTACACATAAATTGGTTTCCAAGAGAAACTAACATAATCAGTATTGGAACAATAACATGCTACTGGTTTGGTCAAAACAATTGCTCAATCAAAACAAATATATTACACGATAGAGAAAGGGAACAATGGGCAAACCTGCTCTCTCAATGGTGCCTGCTTGAAGCTTCGATACACCACAACAATGGCCTGCAAAAATGCAATCGACAAAAATAAGGCCAAGACATAGACCATTTGCGAAATGGTAGAACGAGAGACTTACCGAATGCAGATACATTAACGGGGAACCACGACAACTGGTGAAAAGAATTGAGGTTTCTCACAGGACGAGTAACCGAAGGTAGCTGTGCAAGGGAGGCTCTATGCGAATAAAGGAACAACCCTCTGCCTCTACGAATGAGAGAGTGACCCTCTGCCTCTACAAATGAGGGAGTGACCCTCTGCCTTTGCAAATAAGGGAGCGATGCGCGAACGTAGCTGTGCGATGGAATATTTGAGAATGGGTCTAAGTGAATGAGGGAGACAACATTTGCAAATGAAGGAACAAAGGCTCTAGCACTACGAATGAGCGAATGCCAATTTGGAGAATGAAAGAACACTTTGGAGAACGAGGTTTCCATAAGAGAATAGAAAAGACAAATATACGAAAAAAAGAAAAAACTGATTTTCCAAATCCTTAATCAATTTCACTTAGGTATTTATCGGTGATTTATGATAAATATTTACACATACATGCATTACTAATAAATTTATTAGTTGATAGTTGAACAACCATAACTTGTCAATAAATCTATCAATAAATATATATTACCCACATATATAAATTTATATGTAATTATCCGTTGATAATTTAATTAATTATTATAGTGAATATAATATATTCCACCAACAAAAGCTACTTTTCAATGCTTATGTGATTGGAGACAAAGGCTGCTTTTCAATGCTTATGATTGGAAACTTTCAAGAGCTAAATTAGAATATGAGAAGCCACTGAAAGTTTTGGTGGATAACAAATCTACCATTTAGTCTCTCCAAAAATCTCGTTTTCCATGGCAGAAACAAAAACAATGAAAAAAAAATATATTTGGAATGACCAAGTAAGTCAAGGAAGAATAGAACTTATACATAGGAGAAGATCGTACGTATTATTGATGCTTTTACCAAGCCTCTAAATTATTTGAGATTTGAAAATTGGATAGAGCTTATGAAATTAAAATGTTTCTATTCTATGATTAGACAGTTTCTTTTATTGCAGTTATTTTTATTTTTACAGTTCTGTACGTTTTGTATGTTCTGAATGTTCTGTATGAGAAAATTAGTTTTTGTCTCATGTTTTTCCTCCATTCCTTTCTACATACCTGTCCTCTTGTATATGTTGTGTTTGGGAGATTGTGAGAGAAAGCAGTACTTTGTTTGTGTGTGATGTGGTGTCTCTGGTCCAACACAACCTATTTTTTTAATTTATTCTTATTTATCTATAAATAATATCAAAACGTAACATTTCTATTTCTAATTTTAGAAAATGATATAAATATCAAAACTAATATTCAGTTTTACTTAAAATTGATACTTATCACCGTACATAATGCAGGTACTATAATACCAAGGTAATTAAAATCGGGTATAATATTTTTTTTTATAATTTTATAATTCCTTAATTAGTGTCTTGTATTTGGTTAACATTGTCTTAAAAAAATTATGAACTTTTCTTTGATAAATAATTTTACACAATAGCAATTGTTATTTCTTAATATTAAATTTAGAAAAGTATAATAGGTGTGAACAATTATTTATATATATATTTATCTATCACCATTATTACCCCTCTTTATTGACTTTTGTTTATGAGATGTTAAGAAGTTTTCATTTTTACACACTATAAAGGTTAGATTGTTCTTAAATTCAATCAAAGGCTCTTGTCCACTTTTATGTTCCATATGTTTTTTTATGTTCACTTTTTTTTAAAAAAAAATTATGACTTGTATTAAATTTTAAAAATGTATTTTTATAACAATATATTTTTAAAATGACTTAAGAATACACTTATGAACTTTTGTTTATTATAATACATGAATTACCTAGAGTCTAGATTTATGTTATAAAAGTGGCTTAGAATTTTAAAATTCAATGTTATTATTTTTTTACAAGCTTTTTCTTTCATTACACAGTGAGATGTAAAAGTGGATGAACAATTTGTCCTTTTGACAATTTGATTGCCTGAAATAGAGAAAAGCAAATAACAAATATAATTTACCTTTTTTAATACAAATTGCTCTGATCATTTAAACTTTGGAATCTTTTTCTATTACTGCTATTATGTTGATTTACAGCAAAATTACAAAATCAAATTGTAAAACACGTGTTGAAGAAAAGTGAGAGGGTCGTGGCTTTAGCCTTAGCCACATATATAGTCTTTCTCAAATTACCAATACTCTAATCACACACTATCAATCAATAACCAATAATGGCACGGGAAGGAGTCCCACGTCGCTCAGTTTCGGCATCTCCCCTCAAGAGCATAAGCATATATAAACTGCACTACAGCCATTTTGTAGTTCGATGGACCAAATGGATGATGACTCATGGCAAAAATGGGTTTCGATTTTGGTAAGTAACATATGAAATATGGTATCTAACTTTATACACAACCTTGTTCCTAAAAATTGTTCTCTTTTGTTGTGTTTACAGGAGGAAAATGATTGGCATACTTTACGTGATTTTGACCTGAACTCTGCTGGAGAAGAATTTAAGGGGGACAGTTCAGTGGTGCCTGCAGAATATTCATTGAAAGAAAGCAGCACTACCCTTCTAAGCAATTTTCCATCTTTGGAAGAGAACACTGGCTTTGACATGACTAGTTTCACACAACAACATGTTTCTCCACGACCAAAGTCTTGTGTTCTGTCGTTTGAGAATTTCACTTCAGTGCCAATTTTTGATAAGAAAACATGCCAACATCTTGGTGAACACTCAAATCAGACTCAAGAAAAAACCAGAAAACCCCTCAAGAGGGAAAGAAACTCTTCTCAGACACTTGATCACATAATGGCCGAGAGGAAAAGGAGAGAGAATCTCACCAAAATGTTCATTGCCCTTTCTGCTCTTATTCCTGGCTTGAAAAAGGTCAGATCACATATGGTTTTTCCTTACACACTATTTCTTGTACTATTTTATTAGCATCTGAAGATCGAATTTGGCATTAGAATTTTATCAGGATAGATTTTCTAGAATTATACTAAATTTGATTATAACAACTATGTATTTATAATTGACTTTGTTATGTTTTATTTTTTTAACTCTTTTTTTTCTAGGGTTATTTATATACCTAATCCTACTTGTAATACATTTAATTAACTTTTTCTAATACTGTATATAAGATGTATTTTATTACTCGTATTTGATTAGGAAGACTATTTTCTTGATCAGCTTCACTCAAAGCCAACTCTAATAATTTGATGTTTAAGCCATCAAATACTACAAATCAGCTTTTTTTTCATCGGTTTTGTGTATTTTTACATCTATTACTGAACAGATGTAGATTGTTCAATGGGTGCAAAGATGATTTTGCTTTGCATGAAGTCGAAAAATGGATGTAAGAAAGTTCTAATCTGTAAAGATGTGTGTAGGTGGACAAGGTTTCTGTTCTGAACAAGGCCATAGAATACGTGAAGTGTCTTGAACAGCGTGTGAAAGATTTGGAGAAAGAGAATAAGAAAAGGAAGATAGAATCAGAAGGGTGCTTGAAAGTGAGCAAAAGCAACATGGTTGGATACGACTTTTCGTGGATCTCTCATGCTTGTAATGATGGTGACAAAGCTAGCAAGAAATGTTCGAAGGTTGAAGCAAGAGTTGCAGGAAAAGATGTACTTATCAGAGTAACGTGTGAGATGCAAAGGAACATTGTGCAGAACGTAATGGCCAAGCTTGAAGCTCATAATCTCTCTGTTGTTAGCAGCAATGTTTTGCCTTTTGGGAATTCTGCTATCACCATTACCAGCATTGCTGAGGTATATATCTACACTCTTCTTATAATGACACATCTTATGAACATACCACTTTCCTTGTTTAAACATTAAAGAAAGTATATATGTCAAAATCTAATAATTTAATCAAGTATTACTTTTAATTATTCTCTCACTTAGAAAAAACATCACTCGTTCCAGAGATAATAAGACAAACAATTTCAGTTGTCTGGTGTGAAAATCGATGATCAGTAGTTCTTTTGTTTTATCTTCTTTACATGCATGTGATTCTTTTTGGGATTGCTATTTTTTGAGATTGTTATGTTGGGAATCCAAGTGTGAGTTTAAGTCCCACATTGGAGAGAAATGAGAAAGTAGAGTGGTTTATAAGTGGGAAGACACATTAACTCATTGCCTTAAGGTTTTGGGTGAAGAGTGGTGTCAACTACTTATAAGGTTGGACTCACATCTCATTACTCATTGACTTCCCGGTCAAAAACCTCCCCAGTGGTATCTCATTACTCATTGACTTCCCTGTCAAAAACCTCCCCCTTGATACTCCTAACATGTTATATCATTCTCATTCTCATTCTCATCAGTTTTCAAAATTCATCAAGCATGTATCAAAGTTCTCGTTTATTATCTTTTGAATGTCTTTCATCACTAATTTCATAATCATAATCCTCCAAATATTTACACAAAATACAATTTTGATGTTGCAAAACTGGAAGATCATTAATACAAAATACGACTAGAAAATGTAAGACATAATTACAATTTATATTTGTTTATAATATAAATGAAAAGTGCAATTAGATCATTATATTAATTATTTTATAAGATATTAATTTTCTAAGAATAATTACAATGTGTCTTCTTTCCAATACTTACATTTACGATACAGAATAAAATAGTATCTTGATTGTAAGAACAAGAATATTTACAGAGTTAGAATCCTTGTGAGCCTTACATGCTTATCACATGGAACATTAAAATAATAATATATTGTTGTGCATGGACCATGATACGTATATATGTATGATTGCCTTATCTTGCAGATGAACCCTAAATTCACCACGACAGTTGACAACTTTGTGAAAACATTGACTGAGGATTTGTCCAAGTGCTGTAACCTGTAATATTAATAAAGAGCCACACAAGAAATATTAATTAATGCATTATCTGCTGCTTCAGCACGTTTCTGTTGAATGTATCTTTTCCATTTTTGTCAATCATTGAAGCTCCTAAAGAAAGAAATAATGCTGCTGTGCATGATAGTTATGGTTTTTGCAATCTTCACGAACATTTATTTTTAATTATGGAAAATAAGATGATTTTGTTTACTTTACAATTAATATATTTGTATAGTTTTCATCTTGAATATGCATGCTTTCTCCACCCTACATTGCAATTTTAAATGCTTCAATAAATTCACCCTGTCAGTGTGTTTGGATACACAGACACAGAAAGAAAGAAAAAAAAGAAGAGAAAGTTTAAAATTGAAACACATAATCATTGGAAAAAAAAATACTAATTTCAAGAAAAATAAAAACCTTTTTAATAAAACAAAAACAAAGATTTACTATATGTTTTCAACACAATTCCATTACATATTAAGACATAACCAATTATGTTGTTATCTTTTTAATAATATTTATCTATTTAAATTTTGCTATAATATCTCATTTAATAATATAGAGCATTGCATAATAATAAATTTAAGAATAAATAATCAAAGATTTATATATTACTAATACCGTTATATAAAGTAACTATAATATCAATATATATCGATTCTTTACAATTAAGAGATAATATTACGTTTATCCAAAGTATAATAAAGTTTCTTAAAAAGAAGAAGCTTATATCAAACGAGACCACCTTATATTTATACAATAACAACACTGTCATTTTGAACTGATTTGTCACTACATTATGCTCACAACTATTAAGGTGATCATTAGTTAACAATTGTTATTAGAGCGACGAAATAACTCTTCAATACTGAATCCATATATCAATACATACATTAATGAAACGCCACCATAGAATCTTCCTACGAGATCCATAGAATTATGCCAAATAGAAATAATTACAAATGAAATTTTGTGATTTGGAGAAATGGTATCCTCTTCTTAGTACTTTGGTCAATAACACGTTGCGTCTAATTCATTGGACGTTTTTCATGCCAAGAAGGGTGATTAATTAGAATATGAAGTTTATCTTCCACCAATGGCTTGGTGAAGATATCAACAACCTAATCTTCTGTGTTACATATCATAAATCCACAGTACCCTTATTTACATGATCATGTATGAAGTGATGTTTGACTTTAATATGTTTGTCACATGACTACAATGTAGGAATACTAGACAAATTAATAGCGGCATTATTATCACAGTATATAAGAATCTTACTCTCAAAGTAAATATAATCTTCTAATTTATTTTTGATTCAAAGTAATTATAAGGATCTTACTCTCAAAGTAAATATAATCTTCTAATTTATTTTTGATTCAAAGTAATTATGAGAAGTAATGGGCAACAAATATGTATTCTGCTTCAACAATTGATAGCTTAATTTTTCTTTGCTTTTTTCTCAACCATGAGACAAGGTTTCCTCCAATGAAGTGGCAGCCTCCACTTATACTTTTTTGTTCAACTTTGCCTTCAGCATAATCAACTTAATGAATATCACAATAGCCTTCCAGCCTGAAACTTTCACTTCCTTTATAGCACAAACCAAGATAAGTTATTATAATTAGATAACAAAATATTCATTTAACAACACTAAGATGAGTTTCTCTTGGATCTAACTGAAATCTAGCACATAGACAGACAGTGAACATTATATCAGGTCTAGACGTTAAGATATAAAAGTGATCCTATCGTTTGTCAATAAATAGTGTTAAAGCTTTCATTTAGCCCTAGGCCAGTTGTTGGATGCATTGGGGTCTTCATCTCCTTTATTTTATCCATTTTGAATTTCTTTAGTAGCTCTTTCATGTATATTGCATATGTCTCTTGCTTAATTTGTAGTCCAAGAAAGAATTTTAGTTCATCCATCATGCTCATCTCAAATTCATCATGCATCATCTTAAAGCAATCTTGACAAAGATCTTCATTAGTAGCACTAAAGATTATATCATCAACATATATTTGGATTATTATGAAATCATAGTTAACAATGTGGTGTCTACCTATCCTCTTGTATATTCATTTTTAATGAAGAATAGACTTAACCTTTCATACCAAGCTCTAAGGGCTGGTTTCAATCCATATAAATATTTGTTAAGTCTAAAGATGTGCTTATGATTGATTGAACATTCAATGTAACACCTGCCACGTGTAAAGAAATAGTCAATCTTACTCGGCGCAAAATATGTAAAATAGTTCTCGTTATTTACTCAAAATCTTTTACGCGGAAGCAAAAATCACAATTTAAATAATGTCCATACAACACCAAAATATACCATAATATATCCTTTACAAAAGCTCCAAGTCAAATGTACGAAAAGAAAACTTTAAAGACAAAATCCCGACAAATATTTATTTCCTATCTCTTGTCGTGCTACTATTCAGTCTCATCTGCAACACTATCTACTCCCGTACAAATACAATCATCGTAGGTGGAACTACAACCACAATAGACAAGGGTAAGTACCCAGAAATAATATCAATAGGACAAAAAATCAACTTACTATATTGAAGAAATTGAGCGAATAAAAGTTGAGAGCTTGCCTCAAGGATCACTCTAGTGGTCTTCAATCTTCAAACAAATTAACCAAAAATAAGAAAACCTAGAAAAAGGGAAAAGAAATATAAAGGAAAGAGTTTTAGAGAGAGTATGTGTTTTTAAATAATGAAAGTTGTTTATAAAAACTTTATTTATATTTTAATTTTTTAATATCAAAATAATAAAGTCTCACCATTTTAAACAAATGATCAGAAACACTATTTTTTAGGGTGTTACATCTAAAATAAAATAAATAAATAAATAATATAAGATAATATTTTTAAAAGAAGATATGACTAGAAAAGAAAATATTACATTCTACTAAAAGCGGATTAATTATTTTTTAAAACGAATAATAATCTAAAAAATAGTAGTGTTTCACACTTCTAACAAAACAAAGTGTAAATTAATTCCTATTCAAAGTTTATATATTTCCATGTAAAAGAAAGAAAATCATCTACTAATTTCTTCATAGATGAATAGAATATTTTTGTTTTATTCGCTTTGATTGTTATAATAAAATATGCAGCACATGGATTATAATGGGATGAACAACAAAACATATGGTTGAAAAGAACACATGGAAAAAATCCAAAGATGGTCGAAAAGCTTGAAGAAAGAGAAAAGAGAAGGTAGCTTATTTCCACCTGATTTGATTAATATGACTTGAAAGATGCAAAAAAAGGGAAATGGGTAAAAGAAAAGTGGCAAATAATGATATTGTGAGTGTTATGTTATGAGAAAAAACAAATGGTGGTGGTGTGTCATGTAAAAGTAGAGAGTGACATACACTTTTGTAGTTTGTTTGGATATGGTGGTTTTGGAAATAAGATTGAAGAAAGCATGAGTTAGAGAAGAGCTAGGTATTTTGTGAACGAGGTTTCTTTCGATCCACTTTATATTTTATTTTTACAAATCTAGGGTTTCATTCATGTTAATCACAGTTAAATGATCCCATCGAAAAGATTACTATGATCGTCATTGATTTTTTCTCTGCCAATACGAGTTTTATTCCTTTCATTTCTATTTTCGAAGTAAAATATTTCAAAACAAAAATAATTGTATAAATTTTAAATTAGAATATTAAATGAAAATTGGATAAAACTAAAATAATGATATAAAATATTGTAAATTACACAGATAAAATTTTGTAAGATTTATTCTGTCTTATAAGGATCGTTTCTTTACTTTCTGTTTTAAAATTCTAATGATATTTTTTTATATATACAAATAAAAATTATAATACATCACTTAAACAAAATCACATAAAAAATAATTAAATTAATACTAATTTGAATTTAAATATGTTAAGAAATAAATTTTAAGCCTACCTTAATCTCACAAAACCAGCTTGTAAGATAAGATTTACACTTATTTATATACTTTAAATTAACTTTTATCTTTAATACATCCTCTCACGCCGAGGTATATACATCTAGAGTATGAGACTACATTAATGGGAGATCCAATAGCGGTCCGATAATGGATAAACCAACATGTCCAACAAACAAAAAATTATCACTATAATAGATTCTAACCTGATTCTGATAATATGAATTTTAAGCCTAACTCAATTCCACATAACTGGTTTGTAAGATAAAGTTTATAAATTGGTCTCATTACTATCCATCAAAATATAGTTCATATTTTAAATTTCAATTTTATACTATTTACGATTAATATAAAACCTAATTTTACGTAGCGCGTGAAGATAATAAAAAAGTAAAATGATGGGAGAGAATAATACTCACACCACCCGATTAACCAAAAAAGTTAAATGACATATATTTAATTTAAAAATATAAAAATTGAGTACTTAATACACAAACAATTTAATAAGAAGTCAATAAAAAATATTAAAATTTATTTAAAATTTAAAACTTAATTAAGTCTAATTACCAATTACAAACTATGTGATTAGTTATGTCAAGCCTCATTAAAACGCATCCAAAACCCTCCTGTCAGAACCATTAAAACGCACTCAAAACCCCTCTGAACGGACACCAGGTGTCAAGCAACGAGGATCAAAAATCAGATAGTGGGATGCAAGTGTCAGTAAAAGAGTGGACGCTCGTTTTGACGTGGGAAGAAAAATGATTTTTTGAAACTTCCGTCCCACTCTCTTCTGCATGCACCCTTCTTCCTAAACTCTGAAATTTTCATTTTTCTCTTCCTTCTCTCTAAAACGTTTTCCCTTCTCTCTACAAATTCTCACCTCTTCTCTTCTCCGATCAACCTTCAGACACCAGTTCTACTCTTCCGGCGTAGAACGATCGTTTGAACCGATCAGTTTAGGATTCTGAACTGGTAAGTTCATCCTTCCTCCATTTGTGTGTTTTCTGTAACATGCAAACCCAGATTCCTGGTTGCATGAGTTGATCCTATCATTCTGAGTATCTTTCTGGTTTTATGTTGGTTAAAGTGTTGTAGAACGTTAAGGCCTCTGTTAGAAGGAGAACCCTAGTCTGTATCTGTGAACGTTCGGCTATCTTAAGAGGTAAGGGAAGCTTATTAATTTAATTTATATGACTATGTGTTGCATGAACGTTCGTTGACTTGATTTGATATGAAAA